CCTGAGTAAGATTTGCAAGATGAGTTATGCATTATTTATGTTACTGTTTCTGTAAAGACTTTACAGCTTTACTGTTTTGTAAGGCTTTAATAATCCTAAAATTGGTACATTGTTCATTTCCAGAACCTTTTCTAATTTGATATTAATCTACTATAGGAGTTTATAATTTTCACACTAGTGATTGACTTAAGCTCCTATGCTCTACAGTGGAACTAATTAGCTAATTTAAAACATTTTTTTACCAGAATTATTGTATATAATCTCAAATGCCCCAGTGTATCTAGATTGTAAGCTATTTGGTAAAAGACATAGCCTGTTCTGCCTTTGACATGAAGCAATGGCTGACTTAAACTGAGATTGGTTCTATAATAGAATCTGTGGGATGGGGGTGGGACGGGCTGGCTTTTCCTAGTATTTGCTACTTTTATTTGGTATTGCAAGTATATAGTTTATCTAACTAGATTTGCTAATTGAAGGAAGCACGCATTTAGAATGGTGCTGCTAAATTTTAAAAGAGATCTATGGTCACAGCCAGTGGTGTATTTTTTGTTTTTGTGCTGCCCTCGGCAAGACTAAGATTGGGTGCCCCCACATCTAAATTTGCCCCACCCCTTCCTGTTTAAGATCCACCCCTTCATCTGTAAATCTCACCCCTTCTTCTTTAGGCTCTACCTCTTCTTATTGGTGCTCCATCTCAGGAATTGGTCAGAGATTGTGGACATGATACAGAGATGGTCAGAGATTGCAGACATATTACATGAGATTGTCAGAGATTGCAGATATACTACAGAAGATGATCAGAGACTGCAGGCATACTACAGGAAATGGTCAGAGACTGCAGACATTAAACAGGAGATGGTCAGAGACTGAAGACATACTATGGGAAATGGTCAGAGACTGCATGCATGCATAATACAGGAGATGGTCAGAGACTGCAGATATAATATGGCAGATGGTCAGAGACTGCAGGAATAATACAGGAGATGGTCGGAGACTGCAGGCATAATACAGGAGATGGGTCAGAGACTGCAACCATAATAAAAGAGATGGTAAGAGACTGCAGGCATAATACAGGAGGTGGTTAGAGACTGCAGCTATCATACAGGAGGTGGTCAGAGACTGGAGAAATACTACAGGAGATGGTCAGAGACTGCAGGCATAATACATAAGATGGTCAGGGACTGCTGCCATGATACAGGAGATGGTCAGAGACTGTGGACATGATACAGGAGATGGTCAGAAACTGCAGACATACTACAGAAGACAGTCAAAGACTGCGGACAGGATACAGGAGAAGGTCAGATATTGCAAACATGTTACAGGAGATGGTCAGAGACTGCGAACATGATACAGGAGAAGGTCAGAGACTGCAGACATGATACAGGAGGCGGTTTGAGACTGCGGACACGATACAAGAGATGTTCAGAGACTGCAGCCAGGACACAGGAGATGGTCAGAGATTGTGGAAAGGATACAGGAGAAGGCCAGAGACTGCAGACACAATACAAGAGATGGGCAGAGACTGCAGACATGATACAGGAGATGGCGATAGACTGCAGACACGATACAAGAGATTGCCAGAGATTGTGGACATGATACAGGAGATGGTCAGAGACTGTGGACAGGAGACGGTAAGATAATGTGGACAGGATACAGGAGAAGGTCAGAGATTGCGAACAGCACAGCCCAGCTGAGACCGTCCTCCCCACCCGAGCCAAGCCGAGCCCGCCCGCACCCGACATGGTCTGCCCCTGTTTGCCTCACGGCAGATACGCCCCTGGTCACAGCATATACTCTCATTTTATAACATCACCATTGTAATAACAACACAAACAATAGTTATATTTGACAATTCAATATATGCTTACTTGAAAAATCTCCTACTACTGAGGAAGTCACATGACTGTGATGATACCTATGTATGCGGATCCAGAGTGCTTGGAGACGTGGAAGCTGCGGCCCCGCTGTACCTGTTAATGCCTGTGCAGCATTTTATAATGTGAGTGCAATTCTATTTTTAATAAATCACTTTTACTGTACATACTGCACTATGTGTGGAGTATGTACAGTAAAAGTGATTTATCAAAGTGACTTGTCAAAGGAGAGAGAAGGACTGCCAGAATTTGCCATCCCTTGGATGACAGGGAACACTGACACCTGCTCTACCTTTGCTATTTCCCTGCACACAGTCGTGGACATTGCACATAGTTATTAGAATTTGCGGCCTATTTCCTTCAGCTGCTATCGTCTGACCACAATTAGCACAGCCCGATCATCAGAGCTGATAGCAGGACAGCCAGTCCATAAGCTAAACCACCACTGTGTCACCATCATCAATTCACTCTACTAAGGAGGCCTTTTTCTGTTGCCAATAGTCCTGCAGTCCAGAGAAGAGTTGCCCTGTGCCAACAATAACTTTTACCAGCTTAGCCACTTGTTGCTTTAGATTCAGTAGTGACTACATCCTGTTCCAAATTATTATGCAAATGATATTTTTCTCATGTACCTAAATAATTGATGTACATAACAGTCAGCATAATTCTCATGTTATCAACTGTTAAGAGTACAATTCAAATTTTATTGAACAAACCTCCTAATGATAACAGTATTTTTTTTAAACATAAAAAACTTACACTGTACTGTTCCAAATTATTACGCACAGTAAGTTTCAAAACGCTTTATAGGTTGTAAAGAACTGAAAATTGTCATTTGTTGTGTTTGCAGCATATTTACTGAAATCAAAAGCTATTTCAATCAAACTTTTAACATTTTAACTTTTTAAACATTTTAACAGGTCACATTACATTTGTAACATAGGACCTCTTATTTGATAGCAGCTTCACAAGTCTTGCATCCATTGAGCTTGTGAGTTTTTGGACTGTTTCTGCTTGAATTTGTTTGCAAGATGTCAGAATAGCCTCCCAGAGCTGCTGTTTGGATGTAAACTGCCTCCCACCCTCATAGATCTTTTGCTTGAGGATGCTCCAAAGGTTCTCAATAGGATTGAGGTCAGGGGAGGATGGAGGCCACACCATGACTTTCTCTCCTTTTATCCGCATAGCAGCCATTGATGCAGAGATATTCTTTGCAGCAGGGGATCGTGCATTGTCATGCATGAGGATGATTTTATTACGGAAAGCATAGTTCTTCCTTCTATACCAGGGAAGAAAGTGTTCAGTCATAAACTCCACATACTTTGCAGAGGTCATCTTTACACCTTCGGGGACCCTAAAGGGGCCAACCAGCTCTGTTCCCATGATTCTGGCCCAAAACATGACTCCACCACCGCCTTGCTGACGTCGCAGCCTTGTTGGAACAGGGTGGCCGACCACCAACCATCCACTACTCCATCCCTCTGGACCAACCAGGGTTGCACGGCACTCATCAGTGAACAGGACTGTTTGAAAATTAGTCTTCATGTATTTTTCTGCCCAATGCAGCCGTTTCTGCTTGTGAGCATTGGTTAGTGGTGGCCGAAGAGAAGGTTTATGCACAGTTGCAAGACTCTGGAGGACTCTACACCTTGATGTCCGTGGGACTCCAGAGGCACCAGCAGCTTCAAATATCTGTTTGCTGCTTTGTAATGGTATTTTAGCAGCTGCTCTCTTGACCCGATGCATGGATCTGGCTCTGAATTAGCCACAAATCTCTTAATAGTGCGATGGTCACGCTTACGTTTTCGTGAAATATCTAATGTTTTCATACCTCATCCAAGGCATTGAACTATTTTACTCTTTTCGGCAGCAGAGAGATCCTTTTTCTTCCCCATATTGCTTGAAAATGGTGCTCTGCTTAATAATGTGGAAGACCCTCCTTTAGTAGTTTTTCCTTAAATTGGGCTCACCAGCCAATCTAATTATCACAGGTGTCTGAGATTGTTTTCAACGATCAAAAGAGCCCTGAGACACAATGCCATCCATGAGTTAAACTGAAAAACAAAATATTTCATCTTTGTGACACTTAAATAGAATTTGCATAATAATTTGGAACAGGGTGTAGTGCCTTAAAGGAACATTACACCAGTAAATTGCTGTTCTTCCCTCTCTTTATTGCATTGTTCCTCAGAGAATCATAATCCACGCTTCTGCTCACTGCACTAACTGGGCCCCATCACACGCGCAAAAGACTCATTGCCTTTAAAGAACATTGATTGTTTTGGGGGTAAAGAGCTTGTTTCCTTATTTCAGGCTATCTTCTTACTATCAGGTCCTGAGGGCCCAAAGTGAGCTAGTCTACCCATTTGATAGTTCTCGCTGCTCACTGGGAACTGTAAGACCAGCTCAGGTTGAAGGTATTGGGTTAGTTTCTGAAAAGCAGGCCTGCTAACACTAAGTGAGATTCTGTGATAAGTGTTGTCTTTTCTCAGTTCAAACTGACTTTTCACATAACAATTCTGTTTATGCTGTGTAACCAAGCTATATTGAAGTTTGCTATAAACCTCTTACTCGTTTACTGCAATCAGTGTGTGAGTTTACTTTCTGGTGGTGATTTATTCCAGTTAAGAGTGTACTGTGGTGTCAGCAGGGGTTGGGCTTTCAGAGATGGGTCCAAAGCCACAGGGAGCCTGAAAATAATTCAGCAACTCCTAAGGGGTTAGTGCTACATAAATATGATTCAGACAACTAGGAAGGGGTCCTGTGTACCATATTGGAATTTCCCAAACAATACATTGAGCATATACAGTATTTACAAAGGTCATATTGTGCATTATAAAATTGGAACAAGAACCAGAAATACTGTGTTTTTTTCATGTCTCGTCCTACTAGACTCACAATAACTTAAAAGAACTGTAGTCCTGGTTTTCTTTAGCTATTTAAGGTTAATTATGTTTTCTTGGTTACTTAATGCTTTTTCAAACGTATTCTCCCTGGCGGTATTCCCGAGTGTAGCTCGGGGTAAAGTTTCAGTACCACAAGCGGTAACCCCGAGCTACACTCGGGAATACCCTGCAGGGCTGCTTCGGGATCTCTTCTGCACTTACCTTGTCCTTCGCTCCCGCGATGTCCCCCCTGCAGTGTCCCCGGCCATGTCCTCCGATGTGGATCTGGTCTTCTGGGTTCTGTTCCCTGCGACGTCGGGACATACGGGGACGGAACTGGCGGGAAATTTGAAAGTTGTAAAAGTGACATTCACTAAATTCACTAAAATAACAGAGTAAAACATTACTGTATCAAAGCATTTCACATACATTTTGTCCTGAGTGCTTTGTCCTGTGCCCTGCCTGCATTTTTACTGTTCTTTCTGCCTGAAAACTGAGAAACGTCCATGGTGTCCAAAAAGCGTCCCTTTAGGTCAAAAGTGGTTTTAGACCAGCTAGAGAACAGCGATAGTAAATTAGAGCTACTTGCAGAATTGAGTGATAATGATTCGTGGGGAAATTCGTCATCAGACACTGAAAACGATTTTGCGACTTTGCTCAGTGATGTGCGAACTTGGCGCTATATTTCAAATTTCAGTGTTTTTGGTTTGATTATATTATTGAATTAAATTTATTATTATTATATTATTATTTTTTATGAGTATTTATTAAATTATAATTTATGTTTTTGTGTTTCAAGTTTTATCCTACCCGGGATTTTTACTAGACTCTTTTCGGACAGATTTCAGTGAGTTATTCCTAAAAATTACAGGCCTACAATAAAAAAAAAATACATATTTCCATGCAAAAAAATGTACCGCTTTGAGCACAGAAATATGGACATAATCAGACCGCTAGGGAGGTTAAATGCTGGATAATATTGCTTTATGTTTTTTGGCTTTGTGTGCATCTACATAAACAACCATATAGCTGAATCTTTTAACATTTTTTCCCCTTTTTTTTAAACAAATTTTTAATGTTTGTGCTGACATTACAGAATATAGGTTGGCAGTAATTGTTGTTAAATTGTTTTCAGACCAAGAAATGGTGGCAAATATTGTGTAGGGAGGAGAGTGAAATTTCGATCTTGCAATACTGATTCCTGTGCGAAAGGAAAGAGAGATTTTAGAGAAGTGCAGTGTTCTCATTATGATGGCAAACATTTCAACATCAATGGTCTTACGACTAATGTACGCTGGATTCCAAAATATAGTGGCAGTAAGTATTAAGAGGGACCTTTTTTCCTGAAAAATAAAAACAGCACTTGATGCAGAAGCTTCACAGTAACAGAATAAAATGTTGTATTGTTTGTACAGTCCTAATGAAAGATCGCTGCAAGCTATTTTGTCGTGTTTCTGGGACGTCGTCCTATTACCAGCTGAAAGACAGAGTTGTTGATGGTACTCCTTGTGGTCCTGAAACGGATGACTTGTGTGTTCAAGGGTTGTGCAGGGTATGAATAAAAATGTGTGTATGTACTTTGTATATATGTGTCTGTGTATTATTACAATTTTTATGTTTGCTCGGATTGGTTTATTATTTTGTCTTCTAATTAGCTTTCTTAAAAAAAAAAAGCAGTCATGTTTACTTTATGACAGAATATGTAAAAAGCTTAAAGTGTATATGTATACTAGCCACTGATATGATTGCTTGGTGACTGTGCCAAACATTTTTAGTCTTTAATATGACAGCGCTAGATGTGTTTTATGAGTGTGATGCAGATGGTGTTTGCTGACCTTCCTGGAATTTCAGTGTTTTGTTCAATGCTTTCTTTAATCACTCATTTTCACATTATGCATGAGCATTGTCAGCTGAGCTAAGCGCACTTGTGACACGGAATGCACTCATGTATGTAAGCCATTTCTACGCCTGGTTCAATTTTTTGTTCTGACATGGTTAACCATGCCTTCATGCTTTAGGCATTCCATTTTCATCTGTGCTTACTGCCATCTCTTATTTACTTAACAGCGTGATTGTTGCCAACTTTAAGCCTTGTAGACACCAGCTAGAATACAGTCTTAATTCTAGATAGTGTATGGTCTCACTCCTATCTCAGTTCTGAGACTGAGATAGTGATGGATGGGTTACATTTCACATGTGCTTCTACTGTATCCTTAAATAGCCCCATTCAATTTAGGAGAGGGTAAAGCATTAAAGATGATGCTGACATGCCTTGAATACACATTTAGTGCCATCTTTGCTTTGCCTTAAATTGTTACTAAACCCAGGACCCTGCATTCACTATATCTGGCCTCCAACAGTACATACAATATGAAATTGCAATTATTTTAGTAAATATAAACTGCTAAATACCTTTTCTCATCAGCAGTTAAAGAAGTCTTATTACTTCTACCAATGTCCAGCTGAGCACTGGTGAAAGCTTTTAGGAGAACTTTTCATTTTCCCCTGATTGTCCTATGAGACTGCAGGACCCCTGACCCTCTGTCTGAAAAGCATTGTTTGGCTCTGTGCTGATCACATGCACTCTTCCAAGAAAAGAAAAAACTATCTAGTAATACACACCAAACTGAGCATGTGCAGCTTGCTGCAAGGCTCTGTTTTATCAGCAGATGGAATGGAGACAGTATAAAAAGCAGAGGATCAGAGAAGACCAGATCAAACATCATTTTTACACAATACAGAGGATTAACCCCTTTGTTTCCACAGTGAATATAACAAGCATGCGTTACTGCATATACAGGCTGATTTTACTGTTGTGGGTTTAGTAACACTTTAAGACTTCCATCAGACATTTTCAAATAAATCTAAGACAAATACATTTTTTAAATTGGATTTTCAGGATGAATTGAAAATTAAAAATGAAAATGAAGAGGCTCTCTTTGCTCCATCTCCCAAGAAAATATTACCTGCAGCAAGACATCTCTCCTGTTATTGCTTAAGAATTGAATCAGAAACAGCAGTCTAGTTCTGACTGCTGATTCTAAAATTGTCAAGGTCTTCAATTTGTAGTTTGAAGGATAGAAAAATTTATAAATACAGTATACTTTTCTACCCCTATTCTCTTCCCCTGTACTTTCAGCTTAGAATAGTTACCTACAACATCACTGGCTGATAATACATATGCAACCTGCCTTGTGCCATTTCTTCAGAAAACCTCCATGCGCCCAATGTGACTTTCCATTAATTTGGATGGAAAGCTCAGCACAATTGCACCAATACTCCTTGAATCATTACTGAAGAGATCAGTCAAAAGCTGTGTGGCATGAGGCAAGATGCAAAGTCAAGATATAGTCAAAGTGCTGGGGTAGGCAAGTGCTCTTATCCTTTAATTCTTGGTTTGTTCACACATCATTTGCTGTCATTTATTATATCATAAAACCTGTTGACAGGATGGCTTTTATAACCGTAGTAGTCGGAAAATTCAGAGTACTAAGTACTTTGCAATGATAGCTTGCTGTACCAGTCCACGTCATAGAGGCTGTTTCACAGAAAAGCAAAAAAAAAAAAAAAATGAGTTTGCAGGTTATATTCCATGTGTGCTATGCTCTGCATTTCATCACCTTTTTTTCTTTTCTTCTAGCAAGCAGGTTGTGATCATGTTTTAAATTCCAAAGCAAGGAAAGATAAATGTGGTGTTTGTGGCGGTGATAATTCCTCCTGTAAAACTGTGGCAGGAACCTTCAATAAAGCTCAGTATGGTATGTTGATACACCATATTCTCACTGGGTTTGCAAAGCTCTGCATGTTTTATTACTGTACAGTTACACATTAAACAGTCAGTTGAGCTCAGGTTGGTGTCATTTTTGTGAATAGTCAAAGAGATTTTGTTTGCTTGACTTGATATACTGCACAGCAACCATAGCCATCCAAGTTTCTGTGTGAAATGATAATGGCCATTGCCTGCATGTCAATGTATAGGATTTTGCTTTCATATTATCGGAACAACTCATTTCATGATTTTGTTTATGGCACAAATTATACCATTCATGAAAACGGCAGTGAATTGAAGTGGACTATTTTTTAGGGTTTCATTGGAGCATTGCAGAATTTGTAGACTGATTAACATGAGCACCTTGACAAACTGACTTACGATACAACAGAACGTCAATTTAAAGAAGCCTATTTATATGATTTGCTTGGTCTACCAGACAATCTGATTGCAGATTAAAAATTGTTCATCTCACACAGCTAATCCTACAAAAACACTACTGTCTTTAAAGATGTAAATATGTTTATAATTTTTAACTATTAAGTTTATGTTTTATAGTTTACTACTTTTATAGGCACCCTGTAATAAGAGAAATATGTTAGCTGGCATCTCTAACTTTTATATCTAAAGATGTTAGATGCATGGAACATTGGTTGATCTAATGATTTAGGTACTTTAAACCACTAGCATAGAGAAAAATGCACAGATCTAGGGTTCTGACTTTGCATCAGCTTCACTTGCTGCTTGCTTATAGCCAAAGGCAGGCAGGCAACTAACATTTCCAAAGGGATGCCAACATTTGCAGCCTATTTGTTTGCTTCAGTAACTGTTTCCTTCCAGCCAATGCTAATTTTGTTTTTTAGTATTGGATACATTAGGGCAGGGACAGGCAACCTTTTGAGGTTGAGATCTACCTAAGCAACATGGAGGAAATAAAAATCTCCAGTGTGTGTGTGTGTGTGTGTGTGTGTGTGTGTGTGTGTGTGTGTGTGTGTGGGCACCCTCTAAAACAAACTCTAAAGCCCCCAATACAAAATACAGCATAGTGTCCTGTGCCCCCCCTCCTAATAGTGTCCTCTGTCCCCCCCCCCCCCTCCCAGTAGTGTCCTCTGTCCCCCATACAGCCAAAGGCAGGCAGGCAACTAACATTTCCAAAGGGATGCCAACATTTGCAGCCTATTTGTTTTCTTCAGTAACTGTTTCCTTCCAGCCAATGCTAATTTTTTTTTTTAGTATTGGATACAGTAGGGCAGGGACAGGCAACCTTTTGTGGTTGAGGTCTACCTAAGCAACATGGAGGAAATAAAAATCTCCAGTGTGTGTGTGGGGAGGGCGGGTACCCTTTAAAACATATGCTCAAGCCCCCAATAAAAATACAGCATAGTGTCCTGTGCCCCCCTCCCAGTAGTGTCCACTGTCCCCCATACAGTAGTGTACTCTGCCTTCCCATAGCAGTGTCCTATCCCCCTTCAAACCCCCCCCCCCCCCCAACCTAGTGTCCTCTGTCTCCCTCCTCCCCATACACATACACATACAAACACAAATCAGTGTGTAGGTAGCACTTTCCTGCCTTACACAGGTGTACAGCAGAACAAAGAGCAGGAGGCATCACTGTACTGGATGGAGGGTGGGAGCTGCTAGAGTTAACTTTTCACATTAACAAGCTGGTGATTGGTTTCTAGGACCACCCAACAACCAATCACCTGCTGGTTAATGTGAAAGTTAACTCTGGTAGCTCTCACTCCCACCCCCATCCAGTACTTTGATATCGCCTGCTTTCCGCTATGTAGTGAAGAGATCAGCAATGCAGGGTTGTGTTAGTGATC